ATCTACAAGGGCTGCTTCGACGGCAGTGTCTGGGTAGGAACTGAGAGAGAGAGCCAACTCCACTGCATGGTGACGGTGGACACAGAGGCAGGGGAAAGGGAAGAAAGGGAGAGACTAGGAAACTGGCACAGCCGTGTACCCAACAGGACCCGGGCAAAGACAAGGACAGGGAGCCCTGGGCACCCACGTCATGGCCCGTTTCACCTCCCTCACCTGCTTGTCCTTGGAGATCCGCAGTACCCAGCGCTGAGGCACAACCCCCCAAGGCTATGTTCTCCCACACCCCCAGATCTGATGCTATCATTCTGTCACCCCGTGCCTAAATCACAAGCCCTACACGGCGTCCCTTGCCTTGCCTGGGCTCCTCCATGCCCTACAGCCCTTCCCACACTTCAAATAACTTCTGCGTGCCTGGTTTACCCAGGATGCAGCTGACCTCTGCCTCCGCAATTCCTGTCACCCCCCACCTTGTCTCTTGGGGGTACTTTCCCAGGCATTCCTACCCCAGGCTGTTATCTCATAACCCTCTGCTAACCCCGAGTCTGCCCTCCCCATTTCATAGGCTCCCCTGGCCACAGAAAATGGCCTTGCTGCTGTATGTCTGGCTCTCTGCTGCCCCCTGCAGGCTATGGCAAGCTGACGCCCAAGACCACATGGGAAGAAGCACTTCCGCTCTGCTGTTATGTCTGGCTCTCTGCTGCCCCCTGCAGGCTATGGCGAGCTGACGCCCAAGACCACATGGGAAGAAGCACTTCCGCTCTGCCGGCCTCTGCTTGGAAAAGCAGCCCTGAGAATCATTAAAGGGTGCACACACAGCTGTGTTCTGACCAAACTTATATGATCACAAACATTAACTTTTTAAACCATTTGAAAATTCTAGGGGCTAGAAAAATGACCCAGTGGCTAAGAGCTCATGTTACGCTCACCGAAGACCCAGGTTCAGTTCTCAGTACCCACGTGGTGGTTCACAACCCTCTGTAACTTCGGTTCCAGAGGATTGGACTCCCTCTTCTGACCTCGGTGGGCACCAGGCATGCATGTGGTGCACGTACATACACTCACACACCCATACATATAAGAACAAATAAAACCTTTTTTAAAAAGTTCTTAGCTTACACCGTAAGCTTGCCCCAGGTCCACGTGCCGTATTGTGGGGAAACGGGAGGCTACCCAGAACCTCAGATCCACCCTCACTTGTGGATCAGAACAAAATAATGAGACCCCAAAATGAGGGTGACTGAGTGCACACAGCAATCTGAGACACACCGCCCTACGCGTGGCTTTTATCCATCCCCTGTTCACTCCGTTTCCCTTGCTCGTGGCTTCTAGTTCTTCAAAACCATTAAATCTTTTGTTTGTTAATACATTTCTGATTCCTGTAGCCCTCTGAGGAAATGTGCGCAGAGTTCAGGGGAATAGGGAGAAGGAGGCCTGGAGAGGCCTGCGTCCTGCCCAGCTGCAGGCAAGACCAGCTCATGGATGGTACGGACTCTTTGTAAGACCCTGCAGTCGGTCTTGAGGGCAGCTGATACACACACACACACACACACACACACACACACACACACACACACACATTTTTAAATTAGAGTTCTTTGGACACACTACTTTCCCCTTCCCGAGTGAAAGCCCAGGGCTGTATCTCCTCCCTCCCAGGGCTAGGAGCTCCCTGCATCCTGAGACACTACCTACCAAACCCACTCTGTTCTCACCTAGAAGAGAACATGGGCTGCTAGGGGCAGATCAAACCAAAGAGGAAGCCATCACCATCCTCATCTGGTAGGACTGTATCTGTATAAGAGGAGAAATGTGAATCCAAGCCATGGAGACTATATGGAGACGGGAGATAGCAATGAAGGCAGAACTCTGGTGAAGCTCCTAAAAGCCAAGGACATGCCAGAGGCTGCTGAGGACCACCGGAGGCTAGACCAACACGTGGAAGCATGGTCTCACCGTCACCTTGGCCTTGGGTTTCCAGCCTCTAAAAATAACTCTCCATTGCTTGGAGCTATGAAAGTGACAAAGGCTTTGGCACTTTATGGTGGTGTCCTAGGAAGCCGGACTCTTTGTGAGCTAGTCATCACCTCCCTCTCCAGGGTCACCTGCTGCCACTACGGTCATACACACTTGGTCTCGGTCAGGTCAGCCTCCCAGACACACAGCGTAACTCAGCCGACACTGGACCTTGTCCGTACCTCTTGTTCATGTCTTTCTGATGGTCTATTTAGGGCAGCAGGACGGCTGTTGTGTGCTGTGAGTTTAAACTGTCAACTTGGCACACTCTGGAGTCACCTGGAAGAGAGCTTCACTTGTGGAATTGACTAATCAGGTTGGAGCTGAGGTTCTAGATCAGAGCATGTCTCTGGGAGACTGTCTGGGTTGTTAACTGATGTAGGGAGACCCAGCCCATTCTGGGCAGCACCATTCCCTAGTTTGGGGCTCCGGATTGTATAAGCCTGAAGAAAACCAGCTGGGTGTTGAGATTCAAGCAAGCAAGAACACATTCATTTCTCTCTGCTCTTGCCTGAGGATGTGATGTGGCCAGCTGAGTTCCTGCCTTGACTTCCCCTTGGTGATGGACTGCGACCTGAAATTTTGAGCCAGATAAACCCTTCCCCTGAGTTGCTTTTGGCTGTTTTATCATAGCGACGGAAATGAACCTGGAACAATGAACTGTCTGTGAGGGGCTGGTCTCTCACAGTGGCTACCGTACAGACCCTGTGCCTTCCCCATAGGAAGCTGGCTGTATGCTCAGGTCCCCACTAGACTGAGAAATCTCCAAGGACGGGAGCCTCCTCTTCTTATCTCGGGTACCCAGGAGAAGGCATTCCATGCAAGGGGCAGCGGTTACGACTATAATGTTGATAGGAACTGACACTAGGTAAATAGTGGTGTGAAGGCTCACTAAGTCCTCCTGACCAACAAAAGAAGGAACCCCAAAACACATCCCAAAGACATAAATATGGGGAGGGGGTGGGTGAGGATGGGGGTGTTGACAGAGTTGTGAAGGAAGTAGGAAAGGTCCTAGGGAGAGTAATCAGAATAAATTTTATATATACACACATATATATACACATATATATCTGTGAAAATGCAAAAGAATTAAATTGATTTTTTTTAATGGAAAAGAAAATCAAGAATCTGCTTTGGGGATATTACTACCTACAAACATTGGGTAAAAGCAGAAAGTTTAAAGGTCAAGGTCTCACTTTATCTATTGATCATGAAAGTTGACTTGATTATCTCTGCTTGACCCAGCTTGATTGGACCAGTCTGAAACTCAGGGGCCTGAGAAGCACCCAGGCAGCTGGGAGCATCACTTCTAGAGTGCATCATTCCCTCTGTGGTGGTGTTCTGTGGGCCTTCCTCTTAAGGAGAACCTCAAGAAAAAAGCAATCAAAAACAGAATCCCACCTTTTCTTCAATATAAGAAATAGAGGGCTGGAGAAAGGGCTCATCCGTTAAGAGCACCTACTGCTCTTCCAGAGGACCCGGGTTCAATTCCCAGCACCCACAAGGCAGCTAACAACTGTCTATAACTCCAAGATCTGACACCCTCACACAGGCATGCATGCAGGCAAAATACCAATGCAAATAAAAATAAAAATTAAATTAAAAAAAGAAATACATTATTTTATTTCTGGAAAATAAATGTGATTTCACTAAATATACTAGCAGGAGTGTGAACACACATGAACTGCAAGTGAGCTCTACAGAACCATCCTCACCGAATATATCTGATGAACAGGGTAGGTGGGCGTTCACTGAGTGAACAGTAATGGTCTGGAGCAGAGCTATACACATACTTAATGGAACCTATCTCTTTAAAAAATTTTTGTTGAGAGAGAGAGAGAGAGAGAGAGAGATAGATAGATAGATAGATTTGGGAGTCACTCCTCTCTGTGTGGAGCCTGGAGAACAAACACAGGTCATCAGAGTTGGCTGCCGAGCCATCTCGCACCAGCCCAGCTACTCTTTTGTCCTTTCTGCACAGGGGATGGAACCCTGCGCCCTGTGCATGCTGAGCAAGTGCTCTGCTCTGAGCTGCACCCCAGCCTCCTACGGCTCTTCATTCATGAGCCCAAGAGCTTCAAGCCCACACCAGTCTGGTTCTGTCTTCAAAATCCTGTGACCACATGGGCACTGACTAAGTTGCCTGTGTAGAAGAATGAGACCCTTAAAAGTCATTTGAAAAATTAACCCTGCTTGCTCCAGAAGGGGATGAAGATTCCTGACCCTCCATCACGACCAGATACAAAACTCACCCTGGTTTATGATGGAATGGGCCCCGGAGACAGTTAGCTGAGGGAGTGTGGAGGGCCAGCTTCCCTGATCATTTTATTTCCAGTTATTACCAAGAGAGGAAGTCTGAGTAGATTATTTACATATAACATTTACTCTCTTTTAACTAGTATTAAAAGTACTGATGCTGCTTGCTGATTTGTGTGTGTGTTTGTTTTTGAGACAGGATCTTCAGTGCTTTGGTCACAGATGTGCATACCGCCTGATTTTCATCTATTTTACACACACACACACACACACACATACACACACACAAGGGGTCAGGTAGTCCAGGCTGGTCTCAAACTCACTCTGTACCCAAGATGACCTTGAACGTCTGAAGCTCCTGCCCCTGGTGCCTAAGCGCTGGGATTCCAAGCATGCACGGCTGTGCTTCATTTTATACGGTGTAGATTCATTTTATACGGTGTGGAGGATCAAATCCAGGGCTTTGTGCACAGTAAGCGGATGCTCTACAAACTGAAGACTATAGAGGCATAAAAATGTCAAATTTGTAGAACAAAATGAAAAGCTACCGTTGGCACCAGAGTAAACGTGCACTTCAGCAACCAGCCAAAAGGCGGCGCCCAGAGTCAAGGTGATTTCCAGTTTCAGATTTGCCATCATTAGTGACATAAAAAACATCCACCATAATTAACAGAGCCACTTTGTTAGTGGCTCTGGAAACCCACAGTGCTCATAAAGAAGGCCCTGGCGACCTCCTGCCATGACTTGTTCAGTCCCACCCACCTCATCTGACATACCCCCACGGTCTCACTGTACTGCAGCTTTAGTGTGTGAAGCCAGGAGCTGCACACTTGAACCGTTCCCGGCTGATCAGGAAGCCGGGGTCCCAGAAACCACATCAAAAGCCTTCCGCACACACCACCAAATGCTGCAGAGGGCAGATCTAGGGGAAACAAGGCCAAGATGGCCTGGGAAGATTCCTAAAGACACTTCAGAGAGGGGAAACTCTGGGTGCACCACGACTCCAGTGAGAACAGAAAAACCTCAACAACAATATCACAAAAGCAGGGGCTGGGGAGATAGACGCCTCAGCGGGTAAGAACACTGGCTGCTCTTGCAGAGGACCTGGGTTCAGATCCCAGCACCCACATCAGAGGCATCTTCAGTTCCAGGGGATCCAACACCCTTCTTCTGGCCTCCACAGACACCGTATATATGTGGTGCACACACATGCACTCAGGCACACACATAAAATAAATAAATATTTTTTAAATAAAAACAAAAAATAAAAGGCTTAGAAAAATGTAGTCTATCACCAGAAAAAAAAATTAAGTAAGCCAAAATAAAATTTTATACTGTTTTTGTGCAGAATGGGGGACTGGGGTTCATTTTTTTGCTTATTCTTACATCTTTATTATGCACACGGTCTATGTACATAGTGTGTGCACAGATGTGGTGATGCGTACCTGTGCACACTCACGGGGTTGGCTCTGTCACGCTCCACCTTGAGCCAAGTTCTCTCACATGACCTGGAGGAGCCTGGCAGCCCAGGAAGCCTTAGTGATCCTCCACCACAGTCCCGGGGCTACCGGCACATACACATTCACACTAGCTTTTTAATGTGGGTTCTGGAGATTTTGAACCCAGAGCCTTGAGTCATTGAGTGGCAAATGCGCTTCCACACTGAGCCATCCTGCCAGCCCTCTCAAGACTTTTTAAAGTTGGGAGGTTGGCACAGTAACTGTTACCACAGTCTATCTCTATTATTCTTTACTGACTATTACTTCCACGGAAATTTTGGTAACGTTTATCTTAAATGGTACATGTCTGATAGGACCATTAAGGGAGAAAAGTCAAGCGCATAAAAGGGAAATTGATGCTGAGGGCGTAATGATCCCTGGAATTACAACCAAACGTTAAACTTGGCCCTAGGTTTCCAATGCTAGAAAGAAAAGCACCGAACCTTAGCCTGAGGTGGGCACGCGTGGGTATAACAACGCCTTTGTGGTCAAAGAGCCCTGCCTTACCCACTACCCACGATCATAACCTGGTGGGACAAGTGATGGGACATTCTGAGGATGGAGGAGATGTGGTCGTCAGAAACCATAAGGTCCATGATGTTTAAGTAGCTGGAAAATGTTCTTTACAAAGTACCGCACAGAGGAAAAACAGGGATAAAATTAAAAATAAATTGTTCCCAGTCACACAAATATCATATGAACTTGTCATCAATCATTTTTATACCCAAGTCTCTTATGATTCAACTAAATAGTTTTAAAAAAATTAGAACATTTTATTTTAATGTGTGGGGGCCTCGAACTCACAGAGATCCACCTGGCTCTGCCTCCCGAATGCTGGGATTAAAGGCGTGCGCCACCACCGCCTGGCCCCTAGATGGTTTTTAAAATGGGAATATGTGCACATGAGCACACATGTACACATGGGGGGAGGCAAACATAATTATAACAGTGGCGGCTGCTCCCGGGCGGAACGGCTTGCTTTTCACACCGCCCTTCTCTTCTCCTGCTCCCCCTCCCCCTGCCCTCCCCCCTCCTTTGCCCTCTTCTTCTTCTGATGGCAGACTGAACCCAGGGCCCCACGCATGCCAGGCAAGCGTTCTATGAAGCCTTATCTCCAGTCAGCCTCACGCTCCAATTTTTAAATGAATCCACCGTACTTAACAGTCACAACAGAGGCACAAATGGAATTTGATATTATGCTTCCTAGAGGGCCGGATCATGGAGAGAGGGCAGCCGGCCCATCCTGCCAAGCTTACCAAATGAAATGCCCTCCCTAGAAGGTGTGTTGGCAAAACATCACAACCCTTTCAAGTGTTCCCGCATCCAACCAGCCATCCTCCTTTTGAGACATCTATCCAAGGGAATCACACAGACCTGCCAAGGCCCCTGTACAAGATGTTCGCCACAGCGACCTGCCCCGTGAAAATCAAATAAAACGGGTACCGTGCCTGTCAGTAAGGGAGAGGGTGAACAAACTGTAGTCACTCTATGTGATGTATAAGGCGCGAGGTCCCAAGAAGCCAGACCCAACACAAATGGAGTCACCCATGCTAAAAGGCCCTAACCCCGAGGAAGAGGAAAGATCCCCAATAGATTGGCATCCTGGAAACAGGAGTCTGCTTGACCCGAGTTGCATATGGAAGTCCTTAGAGCCCCTTTACAGCAAGAAGGAACCCTTACCATGAGGGTTAGGCCTCACTAGCATAAGTGAGCGGAAGTAACGCGGTGTTAGCCGCTGAGCTCATCCCGCCTTGCACACCCCACTCTCTGCCACTGCTTAGGGGTGACTGCTTAGGGTGCACTCATTCGATTTTGTGCACCAGAGGTCGCCTCGGTTTGGGATGCTCAAGTAAAAGGCGGTCAGCTCTGTTACTGAAAACACTGTCATTTCATGTTTTGACAATTCCAAGACCACGAGGGTTTTTTTTTTCCCTCCCTTCCACCAAAAAATTCAGTGCCAAATATTTTAAAACTAGAAATGCTCATTTCACAGCAGTTAAAGTTTTAAGAGCACTTACCTTCAGCTGGGAATTTCCGAGCTCGTTCCTCAAAGAACCATTCTCCAGTTTTGATTTTCACATTTCTGAAAAGCAAACAGAATTGTCCTGTTGGGAGCAGGCCTCACTCTCTAGCTCAAGCTGACCTGGAACTCACTCTGCAGGCCAGCCTCACACTCACAGCTCCACTCCTGCCTCAGCGTCTCAAGCGTCTGAGATTCCAGGTGTGAGCCATTATAACACCTTTAGAAATATTTTTTTTCAACAATAGTATTATTTTTGTATTTTATGTACACCTGCATGCATGTCTGTGTATCACACACATACCTGGTGACTTCGGAGGCCAGAAAGAGGTGTCAGATCTGTTGGAACTGGAGTTCCAGGTACGTATTAGCCACCTGGCCTGCCCCTGACCCCTCTGTATGTAGCCCATGGACACCCAATGTTTTGACGTCTCTGGATCAGTTGAATGAAGAATTGTCTTGGCCCACACATTCAGAAGTATCCAACCTGAGGCCAGCTTTGAATGTGGCCCAACATAAAATTGTAAACTTACTAAAAACATTGAGTTGTGTGTGTGTGTGTGTGTGTGTGTGTGTGTGTG